AATGAAAACACTGGAATGGAATTACTCACGTTTTGTAGATATCTGAAGATCAAATTCTGCGAAGAGCTGGGAGTCAAGGAATCATCTCAAAACACCAACAGGGCTTCATTAAACCATAAACAGGATTAATGGTATCATAAAAAAACCTTTACAACTAAACAAATGACATTTCACGAAATATCTGAGTTCAGATGACGTTTGTAACTGTTCTAGGGTTTTGAATATATGCAACCACCCCGAGTTGGAAAAACGAACTTCAGTAATATCGCCCAAAATTCCACCGCTTAACCACCAACACATCCGAGCACTGCCCCACGATCGTTTGAAGCGGGAGACTTAACTTTTTGTCCAGTAAGAACATGCTTAATGCTGGTGGTCTGGGCGTCAAGTACTACTACCGTGTGCCTATGTACAGCTCGTGTCAACACACTGGTGAATAAAGACTTCCCCACGAGTTGCTCGGTCATGGGTGATATGGGATCATACGAAACAGCGGCATTTCAAAATATATCAAATATTCAATAAAATACATTGTTCGCCGAACGTCTTTGTTTTTACTATACCCATTATCGAAGCTGTTTCTGCAATAAACGGTATCAATTGCATCGGCAACCCAGTAAACACAAGCCACACTGCTGTAGCGACGAGACATTCTTCAGTCGGTGCGTTGTAATCACGCTTGGCGACCCAATGCCGACTAAAAACCTTCCCACTCCGTAGGTCATGAGATTACGGGTTGGTTGGTAAAGGCGATGAGGGGTCGAAGAAGGTTTTGATACTCACCACTAGTATATTGTATTGCGTAAGGCAATGTGTTCAGAAGCCAAATGCCAAAGCCTGCGAGCGACGCGAGCGATTCAGGAGGGTGGTTCGTTTAGTTTTGCTCTTCCTGTGGAAAGAGCGCAATCTAGATGTATTTTTAAAAAATATAGGTTTTACCCTTTCTGACAACAAAACAGTTGTTAAGATGTTCAAACACCAGATATCTACCTTTTGCAAGGATCAAGTCTGCATTAAGCACACGTAAATGTGGCCAACATGCAAACACCAAAAAACCGTCCCACCGTAAATTGGTTTACAAGGTTGAGTTTGTGTTGCGTTGACAGTCCCACTGTGCAACTCGTCTTTGCCATTCCAGTTACGGAGACACACGCAGTCGGTCTGTCGATGTTCTTGATGCGGTTGATGGTACACGCCGATCTTCGGCACACGTCTCAGTCACGAGGCGCGATGTTTGGGTCTCGAAAGTGCAGTGTTGTACACACACACCACTGACGTTAACCGTGGCATGAGCCAGTTGCGATTACCGCCGCCTCGCCTCTCTTCCCATTCTTCTTTGGTTCTTTCGGTAAAGGCACGTAGGATGAGAATAAAATAATAAATTGCTAAAATAACACAATAATATTCTCACGACGTTTCGGCCACAACACAAGCGGCCTGTTGTGGCCGAAACGTCGTGAGAATATAATTTGATCAATTTATTATTTTATTCTCATTCTACGTGACTTTACCGAAAGAACCAAAGAAGATGAATCCTTGCAGTCACGAAAGCTTTAAATCTCTTCCCATTGTTAACGCGCAACTCGCGACGCACCGAACAGGCAGGCGAGCCGCAGCTACCAACACAGAAGACCCAACGCTGGATTCCCCACTTGTAGCACGAAACGCGCACTCTTAAAGACACGGCAACAGCACCACAACTTGTTGGCACAAAGGCGGAGAGAATTCAGTCGAAAACGCCGCAGAGGCCTGGTCCCTCCCGCCGAAGCCTGCGTTCGCCTTGAGCGGGCGTGCCAAAAAAGAAGAGGATACGATCGGTTGCACCATCACCTTCTGCACCTTGGGCTGCCCGCGGTACGCCATGGCCGCGCGCGGGATGTTCTCGCTGCTCGAGAGCTTAAGAAAATATTTTCAATATGAATACACTTGACGTATATTAACCAAAAAAACGTGTTAAGTACCGCTCACAAGCGCGCGCGCTCCACTCGTGCTAAATGGCGGGCGGAAGCGCGGGGTACGACGGGAGCGCCCTCTGCCCACCCCCCGACTTCCGTGTGCGCGAGGCGTTACTTGATTGGCTTATTTCAATAATTTATGTTAATGATATATATATGATTATGTTAATCTTACAACGCCCTCCACCCATGCCCGATTTAAATATATATTCTTGGTTCTTTCGGTAAAGTCACGTAGAAGGGAAACAATAAAATAAGAAAAATATAAAACAATAAAATTCTCACGCCGTTTCGACTGCAACACAAGCAATCATCATCAGGTGTGAAACCCACAGCAAGAAAATTTGAAAAAAGTGGCGGTTTTTTACGTTAGCATCACGGAGAGCGATTTAGCAGTTATTCAGATGGACGAGTCCATCTATATTCTTGGTTCTTTCGGTAAAGTCACGTAGAAGGGGAACAATAAAATAATAAAGATATAAAACAATGCAATTTTCACGACGTTTCGACTGCAACACAAGCAATCATCATCAGGTGTGAAAACCACAGCAAGAACATTTGAAAAAAGTGGCGGTCATTTTTAACGTTAGCACTACGGAGAGCGATTTGACAGTTTGTTCAGATAGACGAGTCCATCTATGTTCGGAAAAGAGGAGGGGTGAGACGAAAATAATGGATGCGGTCTGAAAGCCACCGTAAGCGTGAACAATCAATTAAGACCCAAAATGGTTTATCAAATCCTTCCAATGATTGCTAAGCCAGAATCCATCTTCTCGGTTGAAATTTTCTTGCTGTGGTTTTCACACCTGATGATGATTGCTTGTGTTGCAGTCGAAACGTCGTGAGAATTGTATTGTTTTATATATTTTTATTATTTTATTGTTTCCCTTCTACGTGACTTTACCGAAAGAACCAATAATATGAATCACTGCTGTCACGAAAGCTTTAAATTGATTTAAATGTTAATAGTGATATGTTAATGTTCACGCTCACGTGTATGGCGATTGGTCGGTGTTGTAATCTGTCACACCCGTCAACAACGTAAAATAGGCGACGTTTCAGGCAATGGCCCTTTCTCACAGGACATACGCAAAGAAGTTTCACGACTTTTCATTTTATTTTAAGGCAACCGTATTATTGACGAATGTATTTCCACGTGATAGCCCAATTCGCTTCTGATAAATAGCTCAATGGGCTTAACCTGGTGAGACAAAAAATATAGTTTTTATTTGTGTATATATTTTAAGTGATTCGTTTACCTTTCCTATACTTTGCACTCCTGTTGTGTTTTGTACTGTTTGCTGTTGCGACGTTTTGACCCCGTGCCCCCCTTACTGGACATCTGTAAGAAAAAGAGATTTAAAGCTCATCGGATTTTTTTATCCCCTCCAATATAAATATTCTGATTCCGTTTAATTGACGAATCATTGTCACGTGTGCTTGGGCGCCACTGCCAACGCGGCAGCAATCGCCAAATTACGTCGATACGTTGCATTCATGATTTCTAGGGGTGTAACGATGCACGAATTCGTCAATTCGTATTCCACTTTAAAGCCGCCGCTGTTTTTTGCGCTGTCAAATTGCGCAGCAAGGAAACCAAACTCTATTCACAACGGTAACGACCAATTGTAATGGTTCGCTAATGAACCTTATGGCGGGACCCCGGGGTCCCGAATAAACGGAAGTCAAAATCGTAATAAATGTATCTTTCTTATAATAATAATAATAATAGGGGGTTTCTCCCTTTTTTCTGGCAACAAAACTGAAACCTTTTTTACAAGGATTCATGTCTGCATTAACCACAATACTTGCAGTCAAAATGCAAACAAAAAACACACTGATAATATATATAATATATCCAGGTCTAATGATGTATCTTTCTTGATTTGAAGCTTTCGTGACTGCTGGAATCCATACTCTTTGGTTCTTTCGGTAAAGTCACGTGGTAGGTAGAAATTAAATTGATCTTTCGCGACTCCGCCGCGACCCACCTGGCGCGGATCACATTCTGTCGTGATGTCGTCCACACGCGCATACGAAAAAAAAATCCACTTTGGATGAAATATTTAGACATTTTTTTTTCATTTTATTAACAAGTTTTGGCACTTTGGTATTCGTATTTTTATTTTGACATACAGTACACAAATTTGGGGCCGCGGTCCAAAAAAAAAATGTCATACTTTTTTTTCTGCGTGTAAGAAATAAATTAAAAAAATTACAAACATAAATACATTCAGCAACCACAGAATTATGCCACGATTTATAAATGAACGTGCGTTCGCATAAACGCACTACTGTTGTTTGTGTTTTTTATTGGCACCGAGGCCCTGGTTCTTGGGTTTTTGCAATAACAGTCACAATAATACTCGTGAGAATACAGAACAGATAACGTGTGAGCAATCACACAGATACCGTGAATTTTTTTTAAATCTTATATGGTCCGTATCAATTTTTTTGGCTCACCTTGAAAAATACAAAGTTACTAGGAAGAATCACGAAGAGCCAAACAAACGACAAATTAAACAAAAAAACGAAGAAAAAGGAAAATTTGCTTTAAACAATTGAGACTTTGAGAGTGCTAAACTAATATTGAACAAAACCAAGAACACAATAATAAGAAAAAATACTGTACAGTAATAACAGCAATAACACAAAAGGCTCTTGTACAAATTAGTTTGGCTTCACACGCGATTTTGATGTAACAGAATAAGGCACGGAATATTTCATGAAGATTTGTGTTGGCGAGGTTGTGTGCGTGTATACACATATATAATCGAGTTGCAACCAAGACTGAATTTCATAATCGAGTCAAGCTTAGCTGTAGTGAATATTTTGATTTAAAGCTTTCGTGACTGCAGAGATTCATATTCTTGGTTCTTTCGGTAAAGTCACGTAGAAGGGAAACAATAAAATAATAAAAATATTAACAATAAAATTCTCACGACGTTTCGACTGCAACACAAGCAATCATCATCAGGTGTGAAAACCACAACAAGAACATTTTCCACAACAAGAACATTTTCTTGTTGTGGTTTTCACACCTGATGATGATTGCTTGTGTTGCAGTCGAAACGTCGTGAACATTTTATTGTTTTATATTTTTATTATTATATTGTTTCCCTTCTACGTGACTTTACCGAAAGAACCAATAATATATTAATCGATGAAAATATTTACAGTTTGGCCACTGAAGTTAGTGAAATTCATCAACACCTATAAGCTGAACTAATAGACTAAATTGAGCCGAGAATGCTCTATTCGATGAGTTGATGGTTCTTTAATCGTATAAGTAAAGGGTTCTGTATTGGATGAATCCGGGGTTCTGTAACAGATAAAATAAGGATTTGTTTTTTTTATGGTATGTATGTATTTATGTTGGGTCCTATGTCAGATGAGACAATGCTGGTCCAGAATCATGTGAGCTACTCTCCACAATCCAACCACAATCCCATGTCCAAATACAGCATACAACACAATTCACCTTGACTTGCTGCGTTTCTACTCGACTTTACGCAGCCGATTGTTGGATAATTCACGCATAAAAATACAAAGGCAGGGTACACAATGGGCCATGCATGGGATGCGCTAATGACGGAATGGTTTAGAATCGTGCTCGGAGTGCGACAGGTTTGTGCGCTGTCTCCCTCCTGCACGGTACTCCAACATGTGTGTTGGAGTACATGTGTGTTGGAGTACATTACGTGAGAGGCACTTGAAGAGGAACAGAGTGAAGGCGATGAAACCTGCTGGTTCGCAGATGATATTGATAAATTTTCACAATAGGATGAGTAATATTTGCAACAATAAACACCAATGGTAAAAAAGGAACTGCTGGAAAGTAAGGGATCACCATCATTGTAAGATGGACAGCCACTGGAAGTTAAAATATCTTGGCAGCATCGTGACAGCACATGCCACGAGTAAAAACGACACAAACATGACACTCGGCTCCGCAAGAGCTGCTTAAGGCAAACTAAATGAAATATGGAAAAAGTAGAGAAATCTTAGTCACGTCAAAGAAGAAGCCGTTGATCCCCTCGGTGTACTCAACGGCGAGGTGTGAAACCCCTAGCAACGACGGAGAATCGGAGCCTCTGAACCGAAAACCTCCTGCATATAATTCTTTGATTCTTTTGTTATACAGAACGTGCGAGAAACAAAACACGCTTTGTACTGGACAGGCAAAGGCAACCAAGTTGGATCTAGCACGGCAAACTGCGGCACTGCATTGGGGACAAGTGGTCAGGATGCAGTGTGGTCGACTGCCAAGCATGGAAAGTGCTGGGGGCAGGGGGGGGGGGAAGAGGATGAACACCACGATCTGGCTGTTAGTCATAAAACAGCAAGCACTGGACGGGATGGCAGCGATGTCGGTTGTGATGACGGAGTGACGGACGGAGAGAATGGATTAGAACACTGCAAGGAGATTATCTCTGAAGGAAAGGGTTGTGCCTCCAATGGCACAAAACGGCCGTGGGACTAGAACGAGAAGAAGACTCACTTCATTTAGTGAGTCGACTTAAACCCAACTACAAATCGACTTACAATTGCAACTCATATATATGTCCACACACACACAGACAAATAGACGGGCGCCCACACACTCTAGTGCAGGGTTGGGGAACCTTTTCCTTGCTGAGAGCCGAACAGGAGTAAAAAAACCCAACTACATGTAGGCAACCGTACCAATACAGTACACACCTCAGTCACTTCCGTCACGGCAAGGTTCTCGAGCAGTGACACAAGTGATTGACGGCACGAACATTGGAAATGCAGTGATGTTGCCAGGTTGAACGTAACCCCCCCCCCCTCCCCCTCCCTTCTAGTACAAGAGGCCTGCAGTTTGGAAGTGGTGGGCTTAGCGTGGCTGAGGGCCACAAGAAATGAAATCATGAGCCGTATCTGACTGACCCCAGGGCCATAGGTTCCCCCCCACCCCATCCAGCTACCACCCCACCGACTCGCTTGCTTCAGTTATAACACCTCGTACACAGGGGTAGGGGCGATCGAGTTGTCTCGGCCAATGGAACACGACAGTGGTCCCTGTTCCCCGAGGGTCCCTCCGCCGTGGCTGGGATCCGGGCCCCCGTCGGAGGGGATGTGGCCGTAGGTCGGCCCACCTGGGGGCCCACCGGCGTGGGGGGCGCCACCGCCGGGCGGGCCAGCGGGTCCAGGGTTCTGCTCGCTGGAGATTCGCTCCACGATGCTGGACAGGCAGTCAAGGCTGGACACGACGAGCGCACCCTTGACTCCAGCGGCCTCTGTGCGCAAGGGAAGGATTTGGAACACCCGTGTCTGTGTTGTACATATGTATGCTGAACTTCTTTCGCATCGTACGTAAACAACTGTGCCCATCGGTGAAGCCCAATCTCGCCCGAAGTAACGCACTGATGCCAGCCATCTTTTGGCCGGCCATTAAAACAAAGACGGAATCGATACAGTTTTGAATCTAGATTGAAAATGCATGCACTTAGAAATGCTTTTTGTGTTTAGTTTGTTGTGCTTCCCCCACACCACAAGGTTGGCTACGTGTGGTGCGAAATAAGTTGTACGTACATACATACAATGCGATGAGAAACAAAAATAATAGGTTTTTAAATTTTGATTTAAAGCTTTCTTGACTGCAGGGATTCATATTCTTGGTTCTTTCGGTAAAGTCAAGTAGAAGGGAAACAATAAAATAATAAAAATATAAAACAATAAAATTCTCACGACGTTTCGACTGCAACACAAGCAGTCATCATCAGGTGTGAGAACCACAACAAGAAAATTTGAAAAAAAGTGGCGATTTTTTAATGTTAGCACCACGGATAGCGATTTGACTGTTTGTTCATATGGACGAGTCCATCTATGTTCGGAAAAGAGGAGGGGGGAGACGAAAAATAATGGATGCGGTCTGAAAGCCACCTTAAGCGTGATCAATCAATTAAGAGCCGTAATGGTTTATCAAATCCTTCCAATGATTGCTAAGCCAGAATCCATCTTCTCGGTTGAAATTGTCTCTGTGTTTGTATATGTGGATAGCCTCATGAACGAATCTCTCATGGTAGCCAGATGGCTTGCAAAGAACCTCTGTCTTGGAGAAGTCAATGTCATGTGAACCTACTGAATTATAACAGTGAACACAAAACAGACCTGAAATACGGTAAAACCAACACCTCGGCCGTGGCAGATCACTGTCCGGCAAAACAACCCCCTACCTCCTCGCGGTGCCGGACGGGTAACTCTGTCGTGGACAGTGCTGTGGGGGGAGGTCCAATTTTGATTGGCTCCTCCCCTCATGGCATATGTGTCCACCACAGGGGCTAAACGGGGGCTCTGCATGGGTGCGAGGGGCTGGTAACCCCTCCACCTTCAATTAATTACCACTAAATCACGACCAACAGTGTCAAGATCGGCCTCTGTGGAGGAGGCTCGTGAAGGACGCTACTGGGCAGTTGGAGGTAGTCGCCCTCCAACAACAACAGAGGGCGGAGGAGCGACGCTCAGAACAACGAGCGGAGCGCCAGGTGGCTGAAGCACAGCGGGTTGGCACAGTAGGGGGCACAGGTGGTGCATCAGCCAGTCATCTCAGTCAGTCGACCCGTGGCACCTGGGTCTGCCCCGTGACCTCCTGCCAGCGGGCGTTCGACACTTCACGTGGCCTCAGGGTGCACATAGCCTGGCACAAGCGTCGTGGTGACGTCACCGCCACTTAGTGGCGAATGGCGGTTGTTGTATGTGCCTGTGTGTGTGCCTGTGTGGTATGTGTGTGCCTGTGTGTGTATGTGCCTGTGTGTGTATGTGTGTGCCTGTGTGTGTAAGTGTGTGCCTGTGTGTGTGTATGTGCCTGTGTGTGTATGTGTGTGCCTGTGTGTGTATCAGCCTTACCGAGCACGGGCGAGTTGTATTGGCCCCCGTAGTCCGTGTCTGATCTTCCAAACGCCACTCGTCCACACTCCGTCTGACAAAACAAAACACCGTGACTTTAAAACATATATATACATTACCATACTCTATTATCATTCAGCTCCCGTCAAGTTTATTTTTGCAGTTGGGGATTATGGTTGCTATATTGTAAAAACCACTTGAGTAACTTACAGGGAACCTTAGATGTCTGTTACAACCACAAATTCTCAATTAAATTATGTTATTCCTCAAAATGTCTCGAGTCATAAACATCTCACTGTGTTGCTTTATCCCTTTACAATGCCACCAGGATTGGCTGTCATTCGACCACAATTTAAAATCCTCGCTCATTTGTGGAGCAAGCGAAGCTTTCGTCACGCAGACACCAATTGTGACCACGGGTATGTAAATGATGAAATATACGCGCAAGCCATTACCAAGCCAGGCAGCCCGCCCTATGTGACAAGCTGATATTTACAAAAATATAGATATCTAAACAATATGGATATTAAAGCCTCTCCTGTTCACTACACAATTGGAGGCGATGTCCCCCCCCTTTGTCCGCCAGGGGGCGCCCACCCCGCTCATCGTCGCTATTGGCAAAACTTTTTGGTCACTGGATTTTTTTCTTCCGATCTAAGACAAAAGTCATCATTCTTTCAAAGACCTGAAGGCTCACTTGGTCAGTGACAAAACAGTACGATCGAATTTGCAACAGATAAAGAGTTTACACGCGTCTTGAATTTTGCGCAAGATGATAAGACCGTGGGAATACAGTACAGCACAGACGATGGGAGGGAATTCCAAAAAATTGAGCAGTGCGAGGGAAGAATCATACAGAGAAGTGTTGTGGTGGGTGAGTGAGTGGGTGAGGGTGTTATCGTGGCCTGAATGCAGCGTGGTGGTGGATGGTGGTGGGACACAGTGTGGATGAGACGACACAGTTTGCCTGGGAGACCAAGTCTGCAACATGGGTGTAAGAATGAGTGAAGTTCACGGGAGTAGCAGCAGGTGGTAGGAAGCTTTAATTCATACCAAACTTTCAGCATGGCTCCTTCTAGCCAGAACGAGCCCATAAACTCGGCAATGAATTCGGGAATTACTCAAGTGCTATGACTGATAGAATGCCCGGGAAATATGCAATACGTACTTCTACAAGTGCATATAGGCATTTATGTATACCATTGCTTTGCTCTATATGTAACGTATTATCCGGATTATTAAAAAGCTTTCCAATTTTCGTACGATTGAAATCGTTCACGCATTTGCTCTGTCCGTCTGTAGGTGGGCGAGGAAGGAACGATTGAAAGCCGGCCAAAATGAATCTATGAATTTCCCCAATGTTTTGGAGACTCCCAAACCTGGGGAGGGAACGAACACACACAAAACCCGACTCCTGTATTCGCAAATATTCAAACGCGTTTTTGCCCTGACAGCTATCCACCGGCTTTCGTGCGGCTAATTCAACACTTCCGAAGACAATGGTCATGCTGGAAAGCGTCACATAATCCATGCCGACTCATGGGGTTTTTCTTTCTTTCTCGAACGTGTTTATATCTGTATTATAGGCCATGTTATCGCTGTCGTCTTTGAAACCCTATTACACACACACCCCCCACACACACACATTCTCCTGGACATCAAGAACAGCTGCCGCACACGTGGACAGCCGCCATACCCTGCCCACACAGCGGCGCAGCTGCTACGTTGCCTACATAATTGCCATAACAGTAATATTCTTGGTTCTTTCGGTAAAGTCACGTAGAAGGGAAACAATAAAATAATAAAGTATAATGTTTTATATTTTTATTATTTTATATTTGTATTATTTTATTGTTTCCCTTCTACGTGACTTTACCGAAAGAACCAAGAATAGTACTATTACTGTTATGGCAATAAAATAATAAAAATAGATTGTTTTATATTTGTATTATTTTATTGTTTCCCTTCTACGTGACTTTACCGAAAGAACCGAGAATATGAATCCCTGCAGTCACGAAAGCTTTAAATCAGTAATAGTAATAATAACAATAAAATAACTTAAAATGTACATTCCTTTGGTTCAAGCCACTGCTGGATGAAGACCTCTCGTCATGGGGCTGATTGAGCATACTTCAGCGTACTGCTCAGTGGAGGTTGGTTAAACAGACGGGAGTATCCGTGTAAAACAAAAAAAACATCTAAAAACATCCAATCACGTACTCTTTGGTTCTTTCGGTAAAGTCACGTAGGTAGAAATAAAATCAAGCAAATCACGACGTTTCGATCGCAACACAAGCAATCTTCATCAGGTGGAACAACCACAGCAAGAAAATGCTGAAGTAGGCCCTGTGTTGCGATCGAAACGTCGTGATTTGTTTTATTTGATTTCTACCTACGTGACTTTACCGAAAGAACCAAAGAGTATGGATTCCTGCAGTCACGAAAGCTTCAACTCAAGATCCGATCACGTCCTAATTGGCTGATCAAACGATTTAGTTTCCGATTCGATGATTTTGAATCAGAATCGACACAGGCTCTAAGGAGTCACAATGCCATACGATAAGGCGAATATACCCATTTGTCTTGTATGCGGTATGGGAATTGATGGCCTACCGCAGTTGGGATTCGTTTTGCACTTTCCTTTCTTGCCCTTTGAAACAGTGGTGCGGATCTCGAATCCAGGCCGAGGGTCGATTTATAGCGTTGGGATTCGGCTCCATTCTTCCTCAAAAATAAAGGAGTTAACGCGTCCCAGAGGAGTGGTGGTGAGATGTGGTGGGAGGCTGTTGGAGGCCTGCCTGTCAATCAACGTGATGTGTGGAATCGTGGCGATGGTGGTTGCCTATGCCCTCACTGAAGGTAAACATCCGTGGAGGGATGCGGGCAAAGCAAACGAGAAAGATGCCTTCTGTGACCTCGTGTGCCAGGTATTGGCTAAAGTGGCCCCTTGGGATCGAGTTATATTATTAGATGACTTTAATGCCCGAGTGGGTAATGACGTTAGCACTTGGATGAGAGTGATTGGAAAGTATGGGCTAGATCAGCTCAACAATGACAGTAGGAGACTCTTATACTTATGTGCAGTCCGTGGGCTTGTAAACACCCTGAGCTGTTCTGGCAATGCGGATCCAAGCAAGAACATCTGAGCTAAGTAGTGGCAGAACCTCAAACGCGAGCCCATGCTGTTGACAGCGGAGCCTACCATTGGAGCTGATCTGTTAACTCACCAATGGCTGGTCATCTGCAAGGCGCATCTGCCATTCCCACCACTGTGACAGGAGTCATTCACATCGGATCCAATTCAACGTCACCATAGCTATCTGCTGAACGTCGTAAGTGAGAAAATGATCATCCTCACCCCCTCCCGACGCAGAGGGGAAACGAGTGACAGCACGGAGGCTCACGCAGCTGCTTAAAGCTGTGCTGTGACCCAGTCCAGGCCTCCCAAGGGACCTTGGATAATGGATGAAGTGTTGCAGCTCAACGAGAGAAGCCAACATGCCGATTCGCAACATCTACAATGGTTCACACCTGCGAGATGACGGCGTTTATCGGAGGTTCAGAGCTGTATGGCACTGCCAGCGTTTGCAATCACAAAGCACTCTTTAATACCCTCAATAAAGTGACACGCGGCACCTTCCTTATGAACACCGTCAAATTAGTGTGTTCTTCAAACGCTGTCGATTCATCCCGGGTCACCTTTGCAGAAAAGGCAAATGCTGTTTCACGCGTTTCACCTCCCGGTGAAAGAAAGGCCACAGCATCGACCCTTAAGGGAAAGAATGAGACGATATCATCTCTAGGCACCCGGGATCAGGTCTGCAGATTTGCTTAAGCACTTTTATAGTGAGACACTGTCAAGAGGAGGAAAGACATCCCCACCCCTCCCTCAACTGGGTCACATCTCGGCCCAGCGGGTTTGGGAGCTTTGACAAATCTAGGAACAGTAACTCTACTTGATCGGACGCGTGGGAGTTGAGCACATGTACACGCTGATCTTTGTATGATCCACCAATCCCGCACATAATCCGCTGGGGTGCAGGTGTAGCCCAACGCACATTATCAATAATGATCAGAATAATTAATCAAAATATCGATATATTTATTCTGGAGGAATCCGATGAGCTATAAAGCCATTTTTCACAGATGTCCAGTAGGGGCGGGTCACAATGATGATACACACACATGTCATCCGGTGACTTTCAAGAGTCCAGCATTGGATATGTTTAGTCAATCCCATGAGTGAGTACTTGTTTGGCTTTACGTGGGAGAAAGTCGACCACGCATACCGCCATTACATTCAGAGCTCAAGACATCAACTGCGGTCACTCTGCTGCCAACCCATGGCCACTGTGCGACCTACGCCGTCAACTCCGAGTATTCCGTGGCAAGTCCTCCCGTCCAAATACAGAACCAGAATATTGATTTATCCTGCGGGAAGCCGATGAGTTATGAGCCTTCGTTTCACAGACGTCCAGTCAACTTAGCTTACACGATCTTGGTGCGATTGGGCCCAATTAAGGGCGATTGGGTCACAGGTACATCATTTTCACGAAAATTCACACATACGCAATTAATATAATGACAAAGATCCCCCGTATAGCCTTCACATGCTGTTGGTGCAGTTGCTGTTAGCGAGCACCTATGAAGGCCGGGCAGCATCACGCGCAGCCGCTTGTCTCCCGATTGGCGACGTTTACACATCGCCTCCGGTACTGATTTGAGGCGGAGTCGACCTAGAGGAGGCCCGGAACTGGTTTCGGACAATCATCATTGGTGTTGGTGGGCGTGAGCGGGAATCGTTCGTAGCGTGGCACTCAAAGAACCCCTCCCAATAACTTTGTTATAGGGCACGTGCTGACAGTGAGCTTGGCACATGCTGTTCGAGATAGCAGCGTGTTCACCACCACCACCTCCACGTACGGCGGACCGTCTTTGTCTCCACAGGCCTCGTGTGTGTGGCCCCCAGTGCTCGTATTATGCTGAGTCGATCTCGGTGTCACTGCTTATGATCGGCGGTGTGATCAATAAATCTAAAACGAGGTGGGGGGTGGGGGGGGGGGTTTGCATAGC